CACACTATCTTCTGGAGTGCGAAGTTACTGAGACGCTCCGCAGGCAACTAGGAGTGATATTCCCTCCCGAAGAGGACCCAGAGATGACTGCGGCCACACTAGTGTACCATGGAGTCAACGAACCAGACAAGCTGTTACCTGTGATAACGACATATCCTCCTCCTCGCTAGTGTCCACAGTTAGAAGTACATACGGTGTTGTCGCTTATGAGATGCACCAGTTGAACTGACCAGAAGAGTGCTTGAACAGCATATGTCGCATCATTGTAGAAACCTTTCTCCCTCGGGAGCCAGAGACGGGTCATCGCAAGATTGAGACCCGTGCCAGGACTACGGTCTTGGCGAACATTATACATACATGTATTGTTTGTAATGGCTTGATAAAGCTCCTGGAGAGCGAAACGTTGCCTCAATAAATGTCACATTAGTTGCACTTGTGTCGAAGATTGAGACACTTATGCAGCATATGAGAACCTTTATTCAGGAAACGTTTCGCCACGCAGTGGCTTCATCAGTCCAATACAAAGAGGAAGGCGTAAGGAGAGGAGGAGTATGAGGTAATCAGTCCCTCAGCCTGGAGTCGATGTGTTCAGTCCATCAATCTTGTAGAATGTACAGCATAGGGCCGTAGACGTGGCTTCTATACTGTAGTGAGGTGAGATGAAGCAGGCGGAGGCAGGGTCATAGTGGTACCATCCACTAGTCGAAGTAGGTCTTCGTCCAAAGGTTGAACAAGTGTTGAAGAATTCTTTATAACAAGATCCCATGATGCTGCAGTGTCTGACAGTTGTGATGAATGGTTTGAAAAACCGACAAGTTGAAGATTGAGACACTTATGCAGTATATGGGAACCTTTATTCAGGAAACGTTTCGCCACACAGTGGCTTCATCAGTCCAATACAAAGAGGAAGGCGAAACGTTTCCTGAATAAAGGTTCCCATATGATGCATAAGTGTCTCAATCTTCAACTGGTCGGTTTTTCAAACCATTCATCATGTCATTGTGTCCTTTTACTTTACATATTGTCGGTAATTCTACCAACTTTATTACATTACTGTGTTGCTCCTGCCTCTCTGTGCCCTCTGAAACAAGGAAATATAACTCGCTGTGTTAGGCTTTGTTGGGTCATCCTCGTTTTTTTTTTTTTGTACACAGTGTCTATGTAACACTATTGTAATTTCTTTAAGTTACGTCTTAAAATTAAATTACAACCTATACACACGGGTCTTCTGTTCAATAACGAGAAGACCCGGTCCGAATTCTGGGCACGAAAAGACGTACGGGTAAATGTTTGGACATGTGCTCCTGTTCACCTGACAGTATCTGTTCACCTAGCAGTATCTGTTCACCAAGCAGTATCTGTTCACCTAGCAGCATCTGTTCACATAGCAGTATCTGTTCACCTAGCAGTACCTGTTCGCTTAGTAGTATCTGTTCACCTAGCAGCACCTGTTCACCAAGCAGCACCTGTTCACCTAGCAGCACCTGTTCACCTAGCAGCACCTGTTCATTTAGCAGCACCTGTTCACTTAGTAGTATCTGTTCACCTAGCAGCACCTGTTCACTTAGTAGTATCTGTTCACATAGCAGCACCTGTTCACCTAGCAGAACCTGTTCCCTTAGTAGTATCTGTTCACCTAGTAGCACCTGTTCACCTTGCAGCACCTGTTCACCTTGCAGCACCTGTTCACTTAGTAGTATCTGTTCACCTAGCAGCACCTGTTCACTTAGTAGTATCTGTTCACCTTGCAGAACCTGTTCACCTTGCAGCACCTGTTCACCTAGCAGCACCTGTTCACTTAGGAGTATCTGTTCACCTAGCAGCACCTGTTCACTTAGTAGTATCTGTTCACATAGCAGCACCTGTTCACCTAGCAGAACCTGTTCACTTAATAGTATTTGTTCACCTAGCAGCACCTGTTCACCTTGCAGCACCTGTTCACCTTGCAGCACCTGTTCACCTAGCAGCACCTGTTCACTTAGTAGTATCTGTTCACCTAGCAGCACCTGTTCACTTAGTAGTATCTGTTCACCTAGCAGCACCTGTTCACTTAGTAATATCTGTTCACCTAGCAGCACCTGTTCACCTTGCAGCACCTGTTCACCTAGCAGCACCTGTTCACTTAGTAGTATCTGTTCACCTAGCAACACCTGTTCACTTAGTAGTATCTGTTCACCTAGCAGCACTTGTTCACCTAGAAGCACCTGTTCACTTAGTATCTGTTCACCTAGCAGCACCTGTTCACCTTGCAGCACCTGTTCACCTTGCAGCACCTGTTCACCTAGCAGCACCTGTTCACTTAGTAGTATCTGTTCACCTAGCAGCACCTGTTCACTTAGTAGTATCTGTTCACCTTGCAGCACCTGTTCACCTTGCAGCACCTGTTCACCAAGCAGCACCTGTTCACCTTGCAGCATCTGTTCACCTAGCAGCATCTGTTCACCTAGGAGCACCTGTTCACCAAGCAGCACCTGTTCACCTTGCAACACCTCTTCACCTATCAGCACCTGTTCACCTAGCAGTCCCTGTTCACCTAGCAGCATCTGTTCACCTAGCAGCATCTGTTCACCTAGCAGCCCCTGTTCACCTAGCAGCACCTGTTCACCTAGCAGCACCTGTTCACTTATTAGTATCTGTTCACCTAGCAGCACCTGTTCACCTTGCAGCACCTGTTCACCTTGCAGCACCTGTTCACCTAGCAGCACCTGTTCACCAAGCAGCACCTGTTCACCTTGCAGCATCTGTTCACCTAGCAGCATCTGTTCACCTTTCAGCACCTGTTCACCAAGCAGCACCTGTTCGCCTTGCAGCACCTGTTCACCTAGCAGCACCTGTTCACCTAGCAGCATCTGTTCACCTAGCAGCATCTGTTCACCTAGCAGCACCTGTTCACCTAGCAGCATCTGTTCACCTAGCAGCCCCTGTTCACCTAGCAGCTCCTGGATATCTAGGAGTTACGCAGGACTGAGGGTCGTATCTTGGGAAAGGATCTTCAAGAGAACCACGGTGAAAATAAGTTCCACTGATGGCATTCTAGGATTTTCCTTCTAATATTCTTCTTCTTCTTTTTCTTCTTCTCTTTTGTCTTCTCCTTCTCTTTCGTATGCTGTATATTTGCAAACATTAAGTCACAATAACATTTATGTATTTCATCGAGAGAATTCTTATTTAGTTGTGGTATAGTGGATTTATTAAAGGATACATCTACACCAAGATATCTGTAAGTTTTAACGTAGCTAATGTTTTCATTCGGCAAATAGATGGATGGGAGATGTCGCTTGTTTGTTAATATCTTTGTTTTAGAGGAAGATATTATGAGGCCTAATCGACTACAAATTGCTTGAACTTCATTAAGAATGGTGCTTATCTTCTTATGTCCTTTTGTATGGATCATGATGTCATCAGCATACCTTATAACTATATGTTTAGGTGAAGCAGGTAGAGCATTTAGGAGAGCATGGGACTCAGAACTCCTCCCTGCGGTGTACCTAGGGACATTTCTTTAGATTCGCTTCTAAAGCCTTGGTAGAGGACAGAGGATACTCTGTTTAACAGGTATCCTATTATTCAGCAGAGTAAGCTACCACCAATATTCATATTGGCTAGTTCATGTAGTATAACAGTTCTGTTTGCGATATCAAATGCAGACATTAGATCAAAAAATATGGCAAAACTAGTAGAGGTGTGTGCTTTGAGAAAGGTGGAAATACAATTCTGTAGACTTTCACCTTTCATGAACCCATAGAGATGAGAGGGAAGTTGGTGTCTGATTCTGAAGTACAGTCTGTTAAGTATCATTCTCTCAAAAGTTTTACAAAGACAACTAGTTAAGGAGATCTGTCTAAATGTATCAGGCTGTTGGGGCTTAGGGATAGGCACAATGAGGCTATTGGTCCAGGAAGTAGGAAGAACACCCTCAGTGTAACTGAGGTTATACAGTGCTAACAAAGGTTATCAGGCACGTGCCTTAGAGTTCTGAGAATATCATAGGTTATACCATCCTCTCCAGAAGCAGTTGACCGACATTTACTTAATACATTATCTAATTCATACTCGATGAAGAGGCAATCACTCTCATCAATATTTTGGCTCATAAAATTAATCATTTTCAACCTTTCTTCAGAAGCACTCTCAAAGTTTTTTTCTAATATGAGATGAGAGATTTTCATGCCTGGATGTTTTGGACAAGTTATTTATTAGGTCATTTCTTTTTTCCAGAGGAAAGGGATGAGCAACATTACCAGTTTTTTCCTGGTTATTTTATTTATACCTTTCCAAGCCAAACTTAAAGTGGTAGACCTATTTAACCCACTAACAAATTGTTCCCATTCCTGTTGCCTAAGTTCTTGCTTTCTATTCTTTGGAACGTTCTGAGCAGGTCTGGGGTTCTACATTCACGGTAAGCTTTACCAATCCTCGTAGCTACATGTGTTAGATTGCGTAGCTGTGGATCTTTATAGTATTTACATTGGTTTTTATTGCCCACCTGATCTGTGAGTAGTCTCAATAGTAGCAACTAGATTATCATTGAATTTTCGTGTGCCAATGGGCTCGTAATTCTTATACCATTGATCCAAGTGGTTACTAAAGTTATCTCTGTGATCTGGGTTGAGAATAAGTTTCCTCCTTGATTGCTGGAGATATGATCAAGATTGACAGTTGTGAGTCTTGGGAAGTGATCGGATAGAAGATCATCAACTATGACAGTCATGCATCGTATAATATATTAACATGACTCACGAAATCGTAATGACACGATCGCAAACAAACCATACCCCGCCCGTGGTATTGTTTATGATATATTAAATTCAAGGCACAGAACTAGTATGCCACCATATATGTAACTTGCTAATTTGCGGTTTTTTCTTTATGTTATAATGCTCCTTAATTCTTTATCATTTTTCCCGAAAAACAAATACCACACCACACAACACACCACAAACCTCGGACAACACAACACAAGCAACACACCACACACAATGACACAGCACAACACCCACCTTATCACCATAAAAGACATCATCAGTGTTCTGGACGATGCCGAAGGCTGAGGCGTCGATATGGACACCGAACTTGGCGCAGTTTCCTGTCGGAGAGTTCCAGTAGACGGTGAAGCGTGCAAAGCAGGGGCGGCTCATTGCCACCACCCACAGCAGCACGCCCACACTCACCCACGTCCCTGGACACCCCAGTGAACGGGTAGCCATAATTTTCATGGCTTCGAGGTGAAGCGTGTGGGTGGAAGGGTGCAAATATTGGATTTAGAGTGTTTCTTTAATATAAACCCAGTTCAGGTTGAGTTTCTTGGCAGGAGATAACAAGTTTTGGTTTAGCCTTAGCATTAGGTTTCACACGGTATGCAAAATACCTTTGTGTTTGGTTAGTTTGAAGGCGGCAGATTTCGTTGTAGAGTTGGTGGTGAAGAATGGTGTGATGCGAGGAAATGTTTAAGAATGGTATTTCTTGATCCAAAAATAGTCGAATATATTGTTCCGATGTGAAGGCAGTAACAGACAAGACAGGATGGTGGTAGTTGTAGTGGCAAGAGCCGCCAGATAACAGCAGACTTGCTCAACCTCCACGGTGCACATAATCAGCTTCGTCGTATCGCATCTTAAAAAACTTATCAGTGAGTTAAACATTACAGAGAAGAAAACTTTAATTGAATTTTAACCCGGAGAGCCCATAACATAGGATAACCCAAGAAAGCGACTGAAACCGAGTTGTTCAGTTGTTAGCCATACTCGCTACACTCAGCTGCGAGTCATTCTGCGTAAAGTACGAGAAGATTTACCATATCAACAAACATGATATAACCGATATGTTCAGGTTCGCAGATAAATAGCTAGAGGATAGCAAATTCCTACCATCGTCTTTAACACGAGATATCCAGGGATATAGAACAGGGGTTATGGATGAGGCAGAGGGTTAATGCCTCTCTCTGTCACAGCGACAATCAAATCATATCTAATGAATTAGACACATGTTGAGAAATGGTTTACCAGCTAAGGTTAAAGTTTAAATATAGGGGGAACTTATCTTGGTAAGACAGCTCATCGCCTGCACAGCCGCCCCTGCAGGCGAGGTCTTGAGAAGCTGTCGTATCCACTTCGCAATGGGCTGTAAAGTAAATACATTATGTATGATTATAAATTACCCCTAGGGGGTAATTTACAATCATACATAATGTATTTACATTATGTATGATTATAAATTATCAGATTGCTCATAACACTTACTTGTGTGGACTCAAAGGTCCACTTATCACCGGGGTTTATGATAAGTGACTAACTCGCAACTTATACTCAACTGCGCAGTCATTAGTAGTACATAACGAGTTAGTACACTTACCTGAGTATATGTGTCTGACCCACAGTTACGCCTGGATATCCGATGTGTTGATTGAAGAATTGTGTTCTTTGAAGAATGTCGCACTACACTCGTTACACTGTTCATCAATAATTGTTCACACCATAATGTCACTAAAGAAGCTGATCACACTTTTCTGTAAGTGTTTTTTTAAGATTCTTTTGTGCAAAATGCGCGGAACAGTGTTCTTTATTGGTTATCCCTGCACATCAATGTCTCTCTCAGTAGCGTCAAAAGTAATCTGACCTCACAGCATCCTACGCCGCTGCAGTGCCTCTAGAACATAAAGGAAAAGCTGACCTGGTACTTTTTCCTTCCTTGCCAAACTTCCTCCATGAAGCAAAGCAGAATGGTTGATTCTTGCTGTCTTGAGCATAGACAACAATGTACACTATCTTTACTATGGTAATAAAGTGGGAGCAGGATTTTCCTTAATTGTCCTGCTAAAGTAAGAGATTGACTGTCTCTTATTAAACTACACTTTGCAACACTGGACTCTTGCAAGGAGAGGTGGTCACTTGACCACGTCACATACTCGTATTGCATCTGAGATCAATTACTTGCTGTAGCAGTAAACAAGATGTTTGCCCCTTCTGAGAAGGCTGGGCCCCTCAGGGCTGAAAGGGGCTGATACCCCCCTCCTGGAGAAAATTTCTCCACAACACGTGTGCAACATCTGGGTATCTTATTTGTAGACGTTTCACCATCCAGTCTGTATAGTCCTTGTGGCTTAGCGCTTCTTTTTGATTATAATAATAATAATTCACCATCCAGTGGCTTTATTAATACAATACAAGGACATAATGTGAAGACTGCAGAACTATATACAAAAGATGAAGTAATCAGTCCCTCAGCCTTGGAGTTGGTGATGAACACTGTAGTCTTGAAGACGCTCAGATTCTTCATGACTACGGTGCTCATCACCAACTCCAAGGCTGAGGGACTGATTACCTCGTCCTTTGTATATAATTCCAGTCTTCACATTATGTCTTTATACTGTATTGATAAAGCTGCTGGATGACGAAAAATCTACAATAAAGATATCCAGATGTTGCACATGTGACTAATTCTTTATCTTGTAGGTATTGTATACCATGTATATACTAATCATATCTGTTTCACAAGATTACCTTCAGTAGTGTAGGACAACCTTGATGGGAAAGAGAGGTGCGGGACTTGGGAAGGGAAGGGGACGGGGGAAAGAATAGGCCTGCAGAGGGGAAAAATTTATGCTGTAATTTTCTCAGTGTTATTTAATATATCGCGTCGTACGGATACTCACTGCCAAATATTCATAACGTTTTAGCAGGGTGAGTCATCCTGTGCAGGGTTTGATTTACAACACAACTGGAGCCTTCTAACACATTTATTTTCCTGTGTGCGACCCACAAGATTCAGAGTTAAGAGATATTAGATATGACATTAAGAAGACAGAAGGGTCATGGATGACATGATGACAACACTGTCGGCGTTATGCCTTCCAACCATGTCCACACAGGTGGACAGTGTGTGGACATTGTTGGAAGGCGTCACGTTTTCCAGTTACATACACAGTTGTCAGCGTTAGGTCTTCTAGCCAAAAACCTGCTTGGTGGGTGTCCAGACGCCATGTAATGGCAATATGAACATGTTTTCCCCATATCGTAATTTTTGCCCCTGTGGTCGCCTGTTAACCTTTTACCATGATGGCTATGCTCTCTACAGTATATTTTAATGATCCTATTCTATATCCTCAACTCGATGTGCATCGCTACAGACTGACGAGCGACAGAGAGTGATGATGAGCCAAATTGCCCAAGGCCTCGACCGAATGCTGGCGTCAGGACCAGCGTTGGAAGAGTTCCCTGGAGGTGATGCAGCTGCTGACGAGAACAGTGTTATCAAGAACCTCAAGAAGCTCACCAGGAAGGTCAACGGTGTGGACACTCTCCTCCAGCAGGAGATGAGGAAGATTTCTAACGAGGTCAGTAATCAGGATTATTACATACGGGAGGAGCGGCGCCCGGGGTAACATAGAGGGGAAACTTCAACCCTAAAGATTTACCTCCGCACCACGAAAGTTCCCCGATAATAATAATAATAATAATAATAATAATAATAATAATAATAATAATAATAATAATAATAATAATAATAAAAACAATAATAATAATAGTAGTAATAATAATAATAATGATAATAACGTGGTTTCAAAATAATTCTCCAAGCCCCCTCCCCCACATTCCAACCAGATAGCCACCCCTGCATGATAGGGCCAGGTTTAATCCAAATAAAGGAAAGATAACCCCAGTCCTTGGATCAAGAACTCTTCACCAGTATCAAGGCACTTCCCCTGAAGATTGTTATCAGAAGCACAGTTGTGAACTATGGCAGGACCGACTGTGATTTCTTCGTTGTTTATGTCAAATTTAATGACTAATTTAGTATCCTCGGAAACTGAATCTTTGGTGAAATAAGAAGATTTTACATTACTTTGTTTCCTCACATAATTATTATTATTATTATTATTATTATTATTATTATTATATTATTATTATTATTATTATTATTATTATTATTATTATTATTATTATATTATTATTATATTATTATTATTATTATTATTATTATTATATTATTATTATTATTATTATTATTATATTATTATTATTATTATTATTATTATTATATTTTTATTATTATTATTATTATTATTATTGTTATTATTATTATTATTATTATTATTATTATATATATTATTATTATTATTATTATTTTTATTATTATTATTATATTATTATTATTATTATTATTATTATTATTATTATATATTATTATTATTATTATTATTATTTTTATTATTATTATTATTATTATTATTATTATTATTATTATTATTATTATTATTTGCAAGATTTTAATTTGCTCGTCGGGACAAGAGAATGCCTGTTCAGGTTAACTTCAAACTTTCTGTGGTTATTTATGGTAGTAAGAGGAAGTCTAGTTCCCACCTTGTTATGTTTAAGAGCAGCTTTGCCAGAGGTGTTCCCAGACATCAGCTGTTGAGCTGGTCACGTCTGACGTCAGTGATAATATAACATTATTGTCAAGTTAGGCTCATAAAACCTATTAAAATATTTTTATGTTTAACTTTTTAATATTTCATAACTACTGAATGTGATCACTTATAATCTGGAATATAGACACGTCCGGGTAATGTTTAATTACCAATACCTGAATAATTTCTTTAAAGATAAAAACACGATATTTGTGCACTTTGTTTCTCATTGTTATGTAATAATATACAGTGGTTCCTTGTATTAATTTGTAGACTCACGTCTTGTTTAAATTAACAGATATTTGAGTGTTGGACGACATCATTCTTTATAAATTTTAGAACCTCTGTCACTAATCTGTGATAACTGAGACACTTGTCGGTTCTTTGAACCATTTATCTATCATCATTAATGTAACTTATTTTACATTTACATTTTTATCAATATCTTACAAACGATGTCAAAAAAAAAAATCAAACTTTCATAGCATTTATTTGGTTCATGTTGGATGAAGTTATTTTATAACAATCCTGTAAAAGTCTTATATAAAATATTATATTTTATTAACATCATTCCAGTTATTTTTAAATATAATTTTCAATCGTTTATACTCTGAGATTTTCTTCATGGAGACTGGGTCACGTAGGCCACTGATTGTTACCATAGCAGCAGCTGCTTCAGATTTTGAAACTAACATCGTCATGGCTACGGTATTGACCTCGGGTCAGTGAGGTGGTCAGGTCGATCCACAGTGTTTAGTACACATGATGAGTATTTTCTTAACTTTTTTATTTGGCTAACTTAGTTTTTTACACATTACTGTGTTAATCTTTTACATTTACATATTGGCGCTAAAGGTGCGCAATTATTACAATTATTCATTTATAATCCACCTCTTCATCCTATCCTCATCTCTGACCTCAATCTTTCGATATAGTTGATATGTTGCTTTGTTGAGTTCAGGTGAAGATCGTGGGTGAGACTGTGGGTCAGCACATGGAACAACTACAGCAGCGACACGACCGTCTCTCTTCCAGTATGGACACCTGTCAGAGCCAGACCGTCGCATCCATCCAGCACCTGGGAGCCTCGCTGGCCGCCACCGCTGACAGGATCCAGGAACAAGTAAGACTGCTAAGAAAGGAAGCAATGTTGACTCCTGAAACACACATACACACACAGGGGCCAGGAGCTGAGTCTCGACCCCTGCAACCACAAGTAGGTAAGGACACTCACACACACACTCACACACACA